ATATATATATATATATATATATATATATATATATATATATATATATATATATATGGCGAGGTTCAAAAACAAACCTCACTATCCTAAAAACTAAAAACCAATCCTCTCCATTGGATCCTGATTCATCCAATGGCTGAGATTAAAGTTGCATAAGGGTAATCAGGTAAAATTAACAGCCCCCAAAGAGAGGTAATTAATGCTTGTCTGTTGAGTTCTCCATGCAAGTGTAGTTTTTCATTTCCCCATGCAATCTCACGGCTCAGGCAACCCAACAGTCACGAACAGCAGCTCTCTCACTCCACAACCAGCAGCTCTCGTTCATCGTCCTTCAGCTCTCTCTCAATCGAGAAATCGTCTTCTAGTCACTCCACAACCAGCAGCTGTCCTTCATCGTTCTTCAGCTCTCTCCTTCATCGTCCATCAGCTGGCCATTCTTAAACATTTTATGGAGATTTAAATGGAGAGCTTGAATTCAGGTGAGTAGGTTCTAGTTGTTAGAATCTGGATTCACTATATTGAATCCAAGCTCTCCATTGTAATAGATCCAGATTCAGTATATCAAAACTTAGTCATATGACTTATTATCTAGGAGCTTATATTCTTAAACATTTTATGGAGATTTAAATGGAGAGCTTGAATTCAGTTGAACACGTTCTAGTTGTTAATCTAGATTCACTGCATTGAATCGAGATTCATTGTTAGAGACTGCAGTGATTTTCATAATTTATTCACTTGTTTACTGTAGTGAATCTGGATTCAATGCAGTGAATCGAGATTCACTCCAGATTAATTAGCAATAATATGAATTCAATGCAGTGAATCTAGATTCATTGTAATGGATCCAGATTTAGTATATCAAAACTTAGTCATATGACTTATTATCTAGGAGTTTACATTCTTAAACATTTTATGTAAATTTAATTGGAGAGCTTGAATTCAGTTGAACACGTTCTAGTTGTTAGAGATTGCAGTGATTTTCATAATGTATTCACATGTTTACTGTAGTGAATCTAGATTCAATGCATTGAATCCAGATTCACTACAGTAAACATGTGAATACAAAGTGATCACTGCAGTCTCTAACAACTAGAACGTGTTCAACTGAATTCACATGTTTAGTGTAGTGAATCTGGATTCAATGAAGTGAATCCAGATTCACTCCAGTGAATCTAGATTCATTGTAATGAATCCAGATTCAGTATATCAAAACTTAGCCATATGATTTATGTTGTTTTATTTTCAGTTGTAGGCAGCAATGAACAAATAAAGGAACCACATGTTATAAATGCATCAGACAATGATTTTAGGGAAGATGGAATGGACGAAGTAAGCTCGATTCCTTTTCAATCACCAGGTGGTGGTATGTATTGGAAACCTCGGGTTGAAGCTGAATTTAAACCTTATCTAAACCAAAGCTTTCGATCACTAGAGGATGGTATACAGTTTTACCGAGAGTATGGACGTAAAAGTGAGTTTGAGATCAGACGACATACAGAGAAGAAACATGAGGACGGTACAGTTCTTCTTAAACACATTGTTTGCAGTAGAGCTGGCAGCAATGAATCAAAGATGGATGTTAATTTTGAGGATTTTAGTAGCAATTCGAAAAGGAGAAGGAGAACTGTATCTGGTAGATGTGGTTGCAAAGCTAAAGTCATTTTTAAGTTCGATGGTTTGAAAGGATATAATGTTCTCTCATTCGTTGAAGAGCATTCTCATTTTTTGGTGTCCGGGAGTGGGAAACAATTTTTAAAGTCAAATAGAGTTATCGGTCTCGCACATAAGAAACTTGTATTTGATGGTGCAAAAGCCAACATGGGGCTTAACAAAACATATAACTTTGCTAAGGAGTTGTGTGGAAGTTATTCTAATGTTGGTGCTATGTGTACCGAGTTTAAAAATTAGAGTAGGGATGTGAAGCTTTATATTGGTGATCGAGATGCTCAAATGATCATCGAGAAGTTCGCGGATAAGAAGGAGATGAGTGATGGATTTTTCTATGATTATGTAGTCGATGAAGGGGGTCGATTAACTCGCATTTTTTGGGCAGATGTTATTGGACGAAGAAATTACGATGTATTTGGAGATGTGATCTCATTTGACTCTACATATTCCACAAACAAGTAAGATTTTATAGTTAATCTCTTACGATTTTCAATATTGGAATTATATATCATAGTGAATCTTATATTTTTTGTATGTGATACAATAGGTACAACATGAAGTTTGTTCCATTCACTGGTCTCGACAATTATAAGAAGTGTGTTGTATTTACAGCAGAATTGATAGCTAAAGAGGACATTGATAACTATGTCTGGATTTTTGAGGTATTCATGAAATGCATGATTCGCGAGCCAAAGTGTATTGTTACAGATCAGTGCCCTGCCATGAAGCAAGCTATACCAACCGTCTTTAGAGAAGCACGTCACCGTTTGTGCATGTGGCACATTATGAAGAAATTTAACCAAAAGGTAATGAATCCCAAATATAAATATCATGAATCCTCATTAGATAAATATTGAATCTTTCGTTATATATTTATATTGTAGCTGGCAAAATGCATTTCGAAGATGGATGATTTCAAGAGGAAGATCAATGCACTGATTTGGAGTAAAGATATAGATCCAGCAACATTTGAAGTAGGTTGGAAAGATGTTATGAAAGAATTTAAGCTTGAAAGTAATGAATGGTTGTGTGAACTGTATAACATTTGGGAGTCATGGATTCTAGCCTATTATGCTGATGATCTAATGGCTGGTTTATTGCGTACTACATCAATATCAGAGAGTGAGAATAGTTTCTTTGACAAATTCAACCGTAGATCTGACACATTGACAGAATTTTATCCCCGATACGAGAGTGCTATGGATAAGCAAAGGCATACAAATGTAAGATTAAACTATGAAGGAACAAAGTCGATGCCAAGAATGGACACGCCATTGTTATTGGAGAGGGATGCAGCAGAGTCGTACACTTGAACAATGTTTTATGAGGTACAGAAAAAGATAATGTCATCCTGTTATGATATGAGTATCAACAGTATATCAGAACAAGATGGTGTGAAGATTTTTTCCATAAAGGACAAAAAGAGACATGGAAAAATATTTGAGGTAAAACTTAATAATGGAGATTGAAAAAATAAAAATTGAATCGCGATTCAATAGAGTGAATTGCGATTCAATGAAGTGAATCTCGATTCACACCACTGAATCGAGATTCAGTGACCATTTCATGCGCTTGTCATTTTCTTTTTTTATTCGGTGCTAATATACATTTTTTTAAATTTTAGGTGAAACATGTTGTTTTGAATAATGACGTGCAATGTACGTGTAGGATGTTTGAGAAAATGGGTATAGTATGTAGACATGGTTTTTTTGCACTGAACCAAGCTGATGTAACAAAAATACCAAGATATCTTGTTGTAAACCGATGGACAAAAGGTGCTGAGATGAGGCATTCATTGCAGTTCAAGGAAATATCATAACAGTGCAATGCAATTGAAGTTACAAATCACAAGTTGAATGACATATGGTATGATTTCCAATCCTGTGTGAGTTTGGCAGGTTTAGATGGTGAGAGACTTGACTACCTGGAAGGGAAGTTGAAGGAGTTGAAGCACAGTTTGCGTGAATCTAGTTGGAAATCTGACACACAAAACAAAAATGATGTAATGGAGTTTTTTGTTGGCTCAAAAATACCAGCTAAAGTGATTGTTAAACCTCCCATTGAAGGTAGAAACAATGGGTGTGGACGGAGAATTGTTGGTGATTATGAGAAATCAATTAGTCAACGAAAGAAGAAGGTGCCAAGGCTGTGTAATATGTGTAAAAAAATCGATTTCCATGACACACGGACATGCCCATTAAAGAAAACATTACAGCAGAGTGATGTTTAATTTAGTTGTCATATTTCGTTTCAAATCATGTTTAGTAATACATTTCTTATTAAAATTGTTGAATTGTGTAATTCTTAACGACATATATTTAATAGATTATTAATTACATGGTTACGTTGTGTCATGTTAGTATGTTGAATAGAGATCTACTCATATAGCATGTGAATTTCATTATTATTAGTTGTATTATTTCAAAAGGAATGATAAAGTAGTTGTATGCAGTCATCAAGTTAAAATTGATTCGCTTTAAGTGATTCTGGACTAACTATATTGAATCTAGATTCATTGGAGTGAATCTAGATTCACCGAATTGAATCTGGATTCACTATAGGGATTCATTATAATCAATCAAATTATTTGATTGATTCACTTTAAGTGATTCTGGACTAACTATAGTGATTAGTGAATATAGATTCATTGTAGTGAATCTGGATTCACTGAACTGAATATGGATTCACTATAGTGAATCTAGATTCAATCAAATAAATTACTAAAAACTTAAAATAATATTGAACCAGTGAATCCAGATTAAATACATTCAATCTACAATAAGTATGATTAACTTACTGAATCTTTCATTGTAGTAATCTGAATTCACTGAATTGAATCTGGATTCACTATAGTGAATCTAGATTCAATCAAATAAATTAGTAATAACCTAAGATAATATTGAACCAGTGATTCCAGATTAAATACATACAATCCACAATAAGTATGATTAATTTATTGAATCTTACACAAAACCTTGAATTATAACTCACATTCTCTGCTTAAATCGAAATTCTTCCAATTGCATTCACTACCTTCACAGTATTTTCATATATCCAAACTATTCACAAATCTAGAAATAAAATTATGACAAAGCTATTCTTATAAATTATATTTACATGGAAAAGCAGTTCAAAACAAACTGGAGTATTCTATAATATTAAGTGACAATGTACTCAATAACTATAAACTTCAACATTGAAAATTATGCTGATGACAGAATATCATTTTCTCTGAGATCTTATGGTCTTCCTCGTCTCTTTTTTGACATTGGCAGTTTCAGCATGGTGCTGTTGGACTTTCCTGATGACTTTTTTGGCCAATTCATTTGTTAGATCAGTAAGAATTTGGCAACAATATATAGACCTCAGTCTATTTAGCTAATTTTTTAATCGCTCCTGTAGATATGAACAAAAGTTTAGTTCAAGATTCAGTAGCTATATTCTAAATTTTATTAATTCAAAAAGACTAACTGTAAATTATCAATACATTATTAGTTTAAACACTTACACCCTCTCTATGGAAACCAGAGTTCCAATTTGCTGTACCACCGCCCATGTAGGTCTCCATATGTCTCATGACAAAAATACCACAATCAAATTCGTTTTTGGCCGTTCTCCACTCTATCTCAAGTCTGTCAGGCGTTAATGTATTTATTTCACTCGACTTGTGATGTTTTTTGTATGCCAAATATCTCACAAAATTCTTGTGCTGTTTAATCAAAAGTAATCAGTGTCACATAACAAATCCAAATTATCATACAGTAATGTCTAATGTAATATACAAATTGTTTTGGTTGTTCATATGGAAACAGTATTCATGACAGTGAATCACGAATCATTGGATCTAGTTCGCCAGGATTTAATATAGTTAGTTCACCTGGACTCACTCTAATGAATCTGGATTCACACTAGTGAATCTGGATTCACTAGAATTAGCTATAGCTAGTGAATCATGATTCCCTGATGTTAACACAGATTCACTAGCTCAAGTGAATCGAGATTCACAGTAAGATGTGAATCCAGATTCACTAACTCTAGTGATCGAGATTCACTAGAGTTAGCGAATATGGAATTCTCTGACTCTAGTGAATCCAGATTCACTATAGTGAATCCCGATTCACTTATTACTGTATTCTGCCAGTAAATGCTTAAAGCACATACGTAAGGTGGAAAAACATACCAAACACTCAGGACGACCTTGGTATTTTTCCTTGTAGTCTGGGCAGTTTTTGCTATTATCAATCAGCTCCATACTTGGATTCTTTAGCCCATAGCACACAATGTAGAAATGCTCAAACGCATTTATGGGAAAGAAGACTTAATGGTTGTGAAATTTAATCAGAGATTTTACAGATATAGTTAAAATTGGGTTAAAGAACAAAAACATTTGAAAGCAGGTAAGAAACATTCAATTTGTCTCCACTTAAAAACCATTTCACTGAAAAAACAGTAACAATATTCAATTTAATAAAGGGACAAAATACTAAAAACAGTGAGTCTCACACCTAAAAATAAAATATCAAATAAGATTTAAGAACTCACAAATTATCTTCTTCAGCAGAATCATCACCTGAATGCCTTGCTTCTTCTCTATGTACCCAATTCCATATGATGCTTTCCAGCTGACTTTGCCTAGCAGTAATCTGAGATACCCTCTGCACCCATGGTGACCGAAGAGACGTTGCAGGCTTCACCATCCTCTTTTCTTTCCCCCTTCCCGCATGTTCCTTATTTTTTGTCACATGAACTTTCTTACCTTTTTTTTCACCTACTGTAGCAGCATCTTCAGCTTGTTTATCATTTCTTCGTACAGAGTCATCAATGATTTCAGATTCACAAGCTTTAGCAATCTGAACAACATCAACCATTTCTACTATCTTAGTCTGAGTATCCTGTGTTAGCCCAAGAGAAAAACTAGGTTCTTCAGTCTATGGGGTACCAGATTCACTGAGCTTGCGCCTCACTGGTCTGTCAACCTTACCCATGCTAACAGACTCTATAATCTTATCAACCTCTTGAATAAACTTTTGGGAGACTTGTGTTTGTGGTAACTCAGCTGATATTGGATCAACAACAGGGGAACCATGCATATCTCTACTCACCTTGGTGTTCACATTAGGGGTATCATCAACAATGTTTCCCACAGCTGTTTTATTGTCATAGGTACTTCCACGATGTCCACACCCCTGCACAAGAACATTTGAAATTCTATGTTGAATTTGAAAGAGCTCGTTGTCATTGGGGAACAGCTTTCTCATTGTCTCACACTCAGCATCATATCTATCTTTTGCAGATTCCAACTCTACAGCTCTCCGTTGTACCCTCTCAATACAATCCTGCAGTTTGAATATCACAGACATTGGTCACCATAAATTATTAACATGGCGAGAGACAAGATTCGATAGATTGAGATTACATTCAATGTATTTGAATTGAGATTCAAATGACTGAATCCAGAGTCGACTAAAGTAAATCTAGTTTCACTTTAGTGAATCGAGATTCAGTAGTAGTGAATCCAGATTCACTTTAGTAAATCGATATTGAGTATCATTGAATCCAGATTCATTTAAGTGAATCGGAATTCAGTTTAACTTAATCGATAAGCACTGATCTGAAACGAGATTCAGTATTATTTAAACGATTCATTGAACTGAATCGACAAAGTGTTTAAGTGAATCTCGATTCACTCCTACTGAATCGAGATTAAATTGATTAAACAAAGTCTTACAACTTAATTTGCTAACCTTTCGAATTGTCTCAATACTTTTAGGCGAGTTTCCAGTACCACTCTGCATTCGAGATGAAGGTGCAAGTTCAACCCTCTCTGTAAATGCACCTTTGCCAAATGAATTTGTACTTATTTCCTCTGATTGTCTTTCCTTCAAGGCCAAGTCAGTCCAGCCTAAAAATGTAGGGGTTGTTCTCTCAACCAACCTCCTCCCTTTGAACAGAACCTGATCGGCATAGAACAGCTAGAAAGACGGAGATAAGAAATAAAGCACACTAATTAGTAATCATCAAGTAAAACTACTTTAACTACAATAATGTAAAAATAAATCAATATTATACAAGTGACTTACAATCAAAAATGCAAGAGGACCCGTGTAGAATTGTTTTGTCGGGTCTACCCTCCACTTGTGTTGGCTTTCTATCATTGAGTCAAGCAAGAAAGAACACCAATTGTATTCAAAGCACTGATCAACATTGTCACCAAGAACTAGAATCCGTTGGTTGACATACGGATTGCTAAGCGATTGGATCATGCTGTTGTGGAAGAGAACCAAGAAATTTAGTTTAAAAAGCAAATTAACAACAGAACTCTGCTTCAGTTTCTCAGACACAGCCCCTAGAGTAATTTTCCAACCAACACTATCTGTGAATTGAGCCCTCCATTCATCCACCAATGCTGACTTCCCATTACTGGAGGCTGGTATACGCTTCCTGCCTAGAGGTAATCCCATCACTTGATGTACATCTTCCTCTGTGATACTGATTGATCCTCTGGGAAGATTAAGCGCAACGGCATCACTGTCAAAGGACTGCAGAATCTTGTACCCCAACATATGTGGCAGTTCCTTTAATCCAAATTGTAAAAGGCCTCCAAGTCCAGCTAGTCTCACCCATTCTTTTTGGGAGTCAGAGAGTGACAAAACCATATCAGAGAATATCTTTGGAGAGACCCGTATCCTACTCAACTCCTTCGGTTCAGACCTCACTTTTTTTTCACAACCTTCTCCAGTGACAAAAATAATATAATTAGATCAAATTATCCATCAGTTAATACACAAAAAAAATTAAAGATTTTAGTAAACCAACCTTTTTCATCTTCTTCCTTCCTTTTGTGATCTGTTCATTGTCTTCATCCCTCCTACGCTTTGATGTTTCCTCACCGGCAGGATTATTTGGGGGGTTGATGAAGTAATCGTCACTGCTGGGCACGTTCATAGTGCGTGGTGTCCTCTGTTTCCTGTCCGATTTCTTTTTATCTGGCAATTGAACTTGAAGAGGTATAGGTGTAAATACCTTTACAATCTCAACACATGTTGTTTGTTTGTTCCTTGAGCTAGATCGTAGACCTGATAAACCCATGACAGTTTATTTTTTAATGAGACCAGCCTTTGAATAATGCGTGGTAAGCATGAAGGTGGAATCACATTATTGAATCAAGATATTATAATCTGAATCGGGATTCACTGGGGTGAATAGAGATTCGCGAAAATGAATCTCGATTCCCTCTAGTGGAGCACGATTCACTGTAGTGAATCTCGATTCACTGCAGTGAATCTCTATTCAATTAAGCGAATCGAGATTCAACAAAATGTATTAAGATTCAGCAAAGTGATTCCAGATTCAAGAAAAGGAATCGAGATTCAGCAAAGTGAATCCAGATTCAATGATATGATACCAACTCCATCCCATACCATACATTGTTTTAGTGGCTCGTCCCACAAAACAACAAGGAAAAACTGATCATCGCTACAGTTTCATTTCACTGTTATTATACATATAGCATATAATTTTTTCATACTATATACACGGCCTCAGATCATATTTGGTAATGTTTCCATCCTATATACTCAGCCTCAGATCATATTTGGTATTTTTTACAAACAAACAAACAATCATGATAAAGATGAAGTTTAAAGAACAAGCATTTTTACACAACTGGCCAGAAAATCCAATATATGAATCTCGATTCACTATGAAGAATCTGGATTCACCTTATTGAATGGAGATTCACTATGAAGAATCTGGATTCAACTACAGTGCATAAGGCAAAATCGAGACAACCAAAATTAATCGCTGCTCATTTAGAACAAATGAAAACATCTTACAATATTAAAAAAACTTAACTTATTCTCACAAGAACTTAAAACTGTAAAAAATAAAAACCCTAAACTAGAACATGCATCGATAACATTTTATAAAGCTAAAAAAATAAAATAAAAAATTATTCAACAACATGCAAGTGATTAATCTAAAAATTTTTGAAACTTTGATAAAAATATGCAGTTTTAATAAGCGGGTTGGAATCGTTTTACCCCTTCTTGAAGACGAGGGTTTTAGAGTCTGTGAGTTGTTTTTCTTCATCTCTAGCGTCGAATGCTTGTTGTTCGTCTTCGTTCGAGTTGCAATGAGATGTTGAAAGAAATCGAAGTGTTGAGATATCGACGCAATGTGAAGAATTTAGTTGTTCTGGTAGATAGAAGATGAGACGATAGAGAGAGAAAACTTGCTGTTCTAGCTTGATAGAGTGAAACTGAAAGGTCTTTTTCGTGAAAAAGAGTGTTTGACAGGTTTTGCTAATTAATTACAACGTGTTTCATTAATGAATCTTTCCTAAATTACCCCTGATGTGTATATAAGATGTATTTATTTTTTATTTTGCCATTTTCAATTTTGTGTGTCTACATATCTATATGTTTGTATGTATATGTATATGCGCGTGCACACTCTCTCTTTTCTATACCACATCAATTATTATTCATCTGCATGCAAAATGATTTCTTAATATCAAGTTTCTACAAATATTTTCCAACCACTTTCTACCATTACAACTATTATTCATAAAAAAATTTATTGTTTTAAATCATTCTACTCTTTTTTATTTCAACAATCTCCAATTTTAAAGGTCTTCTTGGCAACTTTGTCGTAAAATTTAGGTTTTTTCCTTTCTAGAAACCACCTTATATATAACGTCAATTTAGGTAAAGCATATATTTTAATTTATATCTAAATCATCTACAAAGTTCGTTTTTTTTCAATCAATCACTTGATTCCATTTTGCTCCTGAAATTTCCCTAAAATCCTAATCATTTCTCACTTAAACTTAGGTGTAAAGCACATAACCTATTTTGTTGATGCTCTACAAGTTTTTTACGTGACATTAAGTGAGAGTATCGTTGAAATTTTAGGAAAATTTTAGCTAATTTTAGCTAATAAAGTAGACTCAGATGGTTGATTGAAAGAACAACAAATTTTCTTGGTCATTTAGATATAGAATGAAAATATAAAATGATTTATATAAATTAAGCCTAAATATAGGGTGGTTTCTAGTGAAATAAAAAACCAATTTTTTTTTTGACTTAATGGTAAAGAACTTATATAATTTAAAAAAAAATCATTTTCCCTTTAAAAGAGGGAGTACTAGAAAAACTTTTTCTACCCAAAATAACCTTCGTCTGTCATTAATTTAACAAAGTTACCCTTTCTTTTTTCGTTACTCAGAATCAGAGAATTCTAAAGCCCTAAAATTCCCTTCCTTCTCCATTCTATCGGTTAGGATTTTCCTCTGGCAACTCATTCCCACTCTCTATGTCTCATCAATTGGCGGTTACGAAATTGAACAGATGCTTAGTATTATTATCCTAATCATCCCGAAACCTTCTGTTCCATCTTCTCCTCAAATATCAGATTTTAGGCATCAACAAGGATGAGGAAGTGAACAAATTGGGCAAGCTTTTTATAAGAGGAAATTTTCTGGTATGTCTTGATCAATTTATAAATTTTGATTTTGTTATGGATTTGTTTGTTTTATTGTGTTAGAGTTAGATACAGTGTGGTTTTGAAGTGATTTGATTTTCACTTTTGGGAATTGGTGGTTTTGGTTGTTTTCTTTTCTCGTTTTTTTAACTGGATGGAGACAGATTAGGTGGAATTAGGTATTCAGCCTGAATTGAAATCGGGATTATGTGAAGTTTCAATTTTTTTCGATGCGTTATCTGTTGAAATCTTGTGATTGAGTGCACAATTGTGATCTTTTGGGGAAATTTATTGTGGTTTGAAGATGTGATTACTTGATCTGTACTGTATATGGACAGATTATATAAAGTGTCTGGAATGGCACTGAGTTAGTTTGCGGAAAAAGTCATTCTTACTTTAGCAACATAAGTAATGTGAATTCGCAATATGTATAAAGTTTAGTGGATGCGGGATCTAAAAAGATCTTGAATTGTCAGTTTGTAAATTTCGTGAAGTTGAGGATTTGGAGGGCAGGGTGTGATTTTACTAGACCTTTTAAAATTGGCCCTGATTGCTTATTTTCTGTTGTTGGTTCATTTTATGAAATTCTGGGTAGTAACATGTAAGTTTTGTAAAGTGTAAACTATGTACCTAAAACAGTTCAAGAGATGGAGTATCAAAGCTTCTGTTACATTCTTTTTTAATTTTGACTATTGGTTTAGGGATTGATTTTTGTAGATTTTCACTTGCTTCTTGCACACTAGAGATTGGAATTAACTTGTATACGAAAAATGTGATTTTTCATCAAGTCATGAACGTAGAGAAACTAACAGTTTAATGCTTGTAGATTCTTATAACATTATGGAAAGGGTGTGTTTGGAGCTTGTCAAGCCTTAGTTTGTAGAAACCTTAATGAGTATTTTGGATTTTTTATGGGATTGTCAAATTTTCATGGGTTTATATATGTACTCATACATTAGGTAGTGCGAAGACTTAGCACGACTCTAACGTCATAAGCTTGGATTTACATCTACATCATCAAAAATTACTTTTAGGTATATTCTTGTGAAAGTATTTGATTGAGATTGAGATTGGTTTATTAATTTGAGTGCCTCTGATTATCCGCTTGTGACCCAGGATGGTAAGTTTTGATTGGTTTATTGGGGTTTTTTGGATTTGGGTTTGTTTATTTAGGTTTTGTGATGTTTGATTGTAAATATGTTGCTCATGTTCTCGTATTTTCCGAGGGATCTGGACTTTATTGATCATACTAGCAACATGGGATGGAAAGAGTATGTTTTGCTGTTTGTTTGTTTGTGTGTGTGTGTGTGTGTGTGTGTTTGTTTTGGTGGATTGTTGAGATGGGTTTTGTGCAGGTTTCAGAGGGCAAAGCTGGTGACAATTGATCTAGGGCTATACATTTCGAAGAAGCAGGATATGTTCTGGATTACTCAGCGGAGGAGTGTGCCCACTGCCTTTAAACTCTTTACAGGTAAATGTTTTGTTTCGGAACTTGATTTGAACATGAAATGCATATTTTCTACTAACGTGTAATTGATTAATTGGCTGGATATTAGGATTGATATGGATCTTTTGATTAGTTGCATGTAACATTAGTTTCTTGACAAAAAAAGGTTGCATGACGGTGCTATAGGTTACCTGTTGTACAGATCTAATTTCGAGATTAGAGACTCACTAAGGTTATAATTTGCCTTATATGCAAGTATGTTTGAGAGAACTGGTTATGAAATCTCAAATACAAAGGAAAAATATTGCAAGTGATTTGCTATTGTGATCCCAAACATGCTTAAAATCGCAATGCTGGAGGATCAACAATTTGGTGTGTACTCAATCATGTGTGAGAAATTGATTCATGGCATAAGAAGTATGAAGCTTGTGTATTGGTCAGTTTGAAGCTTAAAGGTAGGTATATGGCTAATTTGTTTGCAAGTGATTTTTTATGAAGAAAATCAGCTACCTATTGACTATATTCTGACAGTCAATTAAATTTATGTTTAACGAAACTCACATATATAGATGTGCCATCCTTTGAGAATATATATTTTGCAAGAAGATATTGAGATGCTGATCACCCCAGAGAAGCATTGGTAATTATGTCCACCAAAGGATTCGTTATCTCAAGGGTCTGCTCATATTCTATATCAGGTTAGGATGATTAAGTTTCAGGACTGGTTTTAGTTGTCAAGTACTTAAGGATTCAGTTTTGAGTTGTGAATTATTATACACCTTCTGCAATGCATATCAGTGGATATATGAGTAACTTGTGACTCATAATGCTATTAATTGTCCTTTGCTTCAACTTGTCTATATTTAGTGGATATATGAGTAACTTGTGACTCATAATGCTATTAATTGTCCTTTGCTTCAACTTGTCTATATTTACAATTAAATGATAAAAATAGAAGGAATGGGTGCATCTCATTAAGAGTTTGTTGAGATGGTTTGTGGCAATTAGAATTAATGGAGCAAGGAGAGTAGACGTATAAATAGATGAATTGAAATGATTAAAAAAGGATACGGTAGATACATAATTAATAGGAGATGTTTTAAATATTTGGGTTAAAAGTTTTTTTTATTTCCTTATTTTGTTTGCTCCCTTGGTTACTTGAATAAATTACTATATACCAAAATATACTCCTTCCTTTGTGGCTTTCTCTTCAATTCTTCATACCTAGATATGAGCATATAGTGATATAGATTACATTCATCATGATGATTTACTTAATACTGCGCATTTAGATTACATTCACCCACTTAACCCAAATATCAGAGACTCACTACATGTGACTTGATGTAATTTATCATCTTATGTTTGGGTGCTTTTTGTCATGGTCATAATATAGGATTCATATAGCCGATCCCAAACATTTGGGATAAAGGCTATTTTGTTGTTTAATCATTCATTCCTCGTCCTCTGAAAAAAAAGATTAGGTATTGAACATGACCCAAGATGCCCCACAAAATAATTGAGATGGTTTTACAATGTCAATAACTTGAGATTTGTTATCAGTAAGTTGATGCAAATTTATGGTAGTTATGAACTTATAAGTTATAACCCTGCTAATAAATCTTAAAGACCAGTTAGTAGGTACGTAAGCCTACCTTTCTTGTTCTGTAACCTGGGAGTACATGTTTCTTTGTGTATGTTATGTTCACTGTAGCATGCTACTATTTAGGTCATTATTTTGTGCGGCTATCCGTTTCGATATATGATGGCTTTGCATGATTGATGTTAGTCTGAATCTGATCCACTCAATTAGCCTCTTAATGAGTCAATCAGATAACGAAATACAAAATTAACAGTTCTTCAAAACTACACTTCATTAGAAGATTGTGTTATCGCTTTATGAATTGGGTGCACATCTATGACACATGCATATTAACTTCTCGTGTCTCAAACCTTATGGCAAATGTGTCATGTTACATTGACTTTGTATGTGCCTTGAGAGAGTATAGTCTCTGTTTTTCCCCATCCTTTAACTTTTTTTTAATCCAGATTAAGTCGCCTCTTGGTTAAGTGAGTTTAAAGTGGTCCAATGAGTCAATTCTTCTTAAACACCAATTGGTCCTAAAAGATTCATATAAAATCCTTCTTTTGTCTATTCTTCCTTTTGTACGAATTTGGCATGAAGTTATAGGGTTGACATTTGATACCTACTTGCAAACTTTTATCAAAACTTTCGGAGGATCCATATTCTGTATAGCTATTATTTTCATGAGAAAAGATCTAGATGATGGCATAGTGATGTTGAAGTCTCAAGTCTTATGCTAATCTTTTCTTGCGTTTACCTCAACTGACAAGAAACTTGCTTAGGAGGCTATGCATTTATTTATGGACAAACGTATGCCAAGTTTCAAGCATTATTTCTGGTAGTTCTTGCTTTTCAAAGGTAAGCATTTATGACTTGTGACTACTCATTAAACTAGGTGAAGAACAACACCACAGACCAACTTATACTATTTAATAAGAATGATGATGATGTAGCAGCTTATACTATTTAATAAGAATGACGACGACGACGTATAATACTAATGAGTAATGAGGAACAGATTGCATTGCTGAGACAATTATATAACTTCCTTTCTTTTCCCTTCTCTTATCTTATTTCAGCTATTTTCTTGATCTATATTATCATTGGTTCATGGGTTAATTGTGGATAGACCCCCTGTATCATCACTGAATTGCGGATACACCTGATCCTTGTTTAGTTGTCAGGAACAAAACTGCTCTTCGGCCCGGGCTTGGTGCGATTAGGCTCGAGAGGCTTATGACTTCGCTGTTGTCAGAGGAAAACTTCAGGCCAAGACAATGCAAGTAGTAACCCTTGTATTTGGGTGGAACGATGTTTTTGGGCTCTCTTTTGAGAGGGAGTAGTGAAGTCTTTTGTTGCAGAGAAGAAGCACGCAGTAGCAGGAAGTTGGCTTGTGCAGCGCCTATTGATGGTATCTGATGGTTGAAAGGAAAGAACAAATGGAAGAAAGCTTTGTTGATTTTGCTGTAGAAAATACTGGTTGTATTGAACCACAGTGAATTGGGATGAAATTTCTTTGTAACTAAAGAGTAATTTATAAGAGTTATGGGTGTATTGAACCACAGTGAATTGGGATGAAATTTCTTTGTAACTAAAGAGTAATTTATAAGAGTTATGGGTGTAGCCTCTTGAAGTTGTTGGATCTCGGTAATAGACTCTTCTGAACTGTGTTTTTACGAGCATTGTACACATTGATTTTTATTTTTCGTTGAAGAAAGGTACTTTATATACAATCCGACATATTCACATTGGACATAAGATAATCTTTATGCTTAGAAGTAACTACAATCCAATCAAAAAGTATACTGTCATGTCTTAGCGCGAAAATTGATAAATCTCGGAATCCATTGAAGATTGTTTTTTGAATTCAAAAAGAACAATCTTTAAATTCATGAAGAATTTCGAATTCGAATCCATTGAAGATTGTTTTTTGAATTCAAAAAGAACAATCTTTAAATTCATGAAGAATTTCGAATTCACGAAGAAAATTAATATAAGAAATTTCACGGATGTAAAGTCATGCCTCTAGGACTTATACTCTGCCTAGCTAAAAAGAAAAACAAACTGGACTCTTACTAGGACTCGGATTTTATTAAAAATAGAGATAGCAAAACTATCATTAAAAGACTCCCTATGATTAAGGAAATAAAACATTCAAATTTAGGATCAAGTCGGATTTTCAAATCAAAATAGATTTCTAAACCATTATCAAAAGTAGTAAAAAGCTGACAAAAAGTTTGATATCTCCCAAGCCTGAGGGAATTGCGTGAAACAAACGGTGGTAAACCGACTAGCAATAGGTTTGATTGACTTTGTCTCGAAAAAATATGTGATTTTATATTTTATCTATCCAATTCTAACACGTAGTTTGGAAGATACAACTCATTCAATAAATTTATACCAAATATTTCCCTAAATAAAATTATAATTTAAAATAATATTAAAAATTTTACCACGTGCAATGCACGTGCAATCCAACTAGTAAAAATAAAAGAGAGCGCATTTAATATGGAGATGAAGTGTACAAAATTTTGATTCCTTCTAAATTAACATTTTATCCCTAACAAATAAAAAATTACATAAAATCCAAGCATAAAGAAAAGGAAATTTTGCCCGCGTTGCTTCGATTTTCTTACTCTCGTCACGCTTTTCCTTTAATTTTCCCCATCCTCACCGTACCTTTGACACCTATAAATAAATGGTTTAAAAAAAAAGGTAAAAACAGAATGAAGGGTCAATAAAGCAATAACTATTTGCATATGGGCTCACTCGCATGAAAGAAAGTCACAGACCTCGAATGCTAGAATCAAAGAACAGTTGCCAGGAAAAGGTAGCTACATTCTAAAGTCTCGCCCAAACTATTCTTTGCTTTGCTTTCTCCCAACCCAACAGAATCAAAATCACAATAAATAAATAAATAATTAATTAATTAAATTAAAAAAGAGGAAAAAGTTGTAGGTTTATCGAAAGCAGCGTTAGCGGAGACTCAGTCCTCAGCACGAGAATCTCGAGATACCTGACCGGTTATCTCACCTACACGCGTCATGCCGTCACGTGATCTCGGTGCCGCGTGGTAGGAGACAGTACGTCCTAGCATTTATAGCACTCGTCAGAGGTTTGATATTTTCCAACTGAGTTTCTTCTTTCTTTTTTTCCTTGACGGGACTACATTTCTTGTTTCTTTTAAGGGCTTTTCCATATCAGTCCCAAACATCTTCGATATTTGAAGCTTAGTTTGTAACTGTTATTAATTTGATAATTCCTTACGTTCATCTAACTTAATCCATTAACATATTTAATAGGACCCTGTTTACAATATGATATTTTTCACCAATGAAACTATGGTACTAATATTGAAATACATAGCAGCCTAGTTATTTTGTCTATGTAGAAAATTTTAATCATGTTATTTTCTATGTAAAGTAATATCAAATTAGCATCAACGTTCGACATTAGTATCGTAACACTACGGGTGAAAAGAGAAAAATATGTATAATATTGGGATAATATGTATAATATTGGACCATTGGAGCCCTTCGATGGTATGACCGTATGAGAGACTAACTACTTTTGGGATAATATGTATAATATTGGACCATTGGAGGACCTAAATAACAATCTCAATAATTTGAGGAATTAATTATAAAATGTTGACGGTGTCAGGATTAATACGGACACTATCTTTTTCCATAGGCGGGTGCGTGTGTGTGGGGTAGTGGATATGGAGGACCATCGCCCATGTGGCGGGAGGATGAAACATTGATGCACGCACGTGCCGATGTTGGCATACGTGGCAACGCCCGCGCCCGTGGGCTTTTTGGTTTATGGAAGGATGCTGGATTTGTAGCTTGAGCTTGGCAGTAACCTAAGCATTGTGACTCGGTAAGGTTAATTGTAAGCATTTACGTATGTATCCGCTGGTCGTGTTAGTGGCATAGTTAGATTCTCCGTCAGTACGTATCTTTAATTATGTAAATTATCATAATTGTGTTGGATAACGGATTTCTAATCTATTTTGTTAACATGAGATTATTAGGATTCCTAATCTATTTTGGTAACATGATGTTATTAGGATTCCTAATCTATTTTGGTAATAGGTTATTAGGATTTCTAATTTGTTTTGGCTTTTGGTTTAGAATTCCTAGTATGTTTATGATTTTAGGATTTTTATATATACGGAACAATTGGAAGAGAGAATTGAGAAGAAAATTGTGGATATTTGGAGCATAGAAAAGATGTATTTTCTGAGCTATTTGTTTAGGGTTTTGTTTGGAGAGATTAAGAGTTTGTTGGTGAGATTATTTTGTTCCTTCGAGTGATTTGTAATATCAGTTTGTACTCTTTCTCTATTAGTGAAAACCTCATCCCCTTTCTTGCCCCGTGGACGTAGGCAATTTGCCGAACCACATAAATTTCTTGTGTTATTTGGTGATTGTGCTTGTTTATTTGGTTGTGATCTCTCTTGTTTGTATTGTGTGTGATTCGGCCGCTTCCGCGCCGCGCACAACAATTGGTATCAGAGCTTCTGATTCGACGTGAGGCTTGTTTGAAGGATTATCTGAAAGGATTCCTATTTGAAGAGCTAGATCGACAACATGGGTGAAGCAAGCACATCAGGATCGTCTCTTACGAAGACGATACATAGTTTGAGCATCAATAACATGAAGATCGATGTTCCGAAGTTTGATGGAAAGATCAATTTCGGTTTGTGAAGGTGCCAAGTGATGGATGCGTTGGACGCTCAAAACTTGGAAGAGACTCTTGAGTTGCAAGAGAAACTTGCTGATATAGAAGAAAATGTTTGGAAGAAGATGAATAGTAGGCGTGTGAAGTTATTCGGTCATACTTGACGCCGGATCTTATTTATGATGTGATGAACGAGACGTCGGCGAAGAAGATGTGGGAAACACTCAATGAAAAGTATCTTATTAAGAGCATTGAAAACCGGCTTTACTTGAAGAAGATGTTTTACCAGTTCAAGATGAAGAGGGGAGTTTCCATCATGGAGCATGTTAACAACTTCACGAAGCTACTTTCAGACATGGCCAATGTGGATATTATGGTTAAGGATGAAGACAAGATGATGCTACTTTTGTGTTCATTGCTCGAGGATGATTATGGTACCTGTAGGCGTATAAAACTGCTTATAGGTCCCTTAACACAGCTCGACATGGTGATTCGACAAACCAACGAACCAGCGGGCAACATATCCAAGCATGATCGTTAGACCACAACACCGAAGACAAGTGACACGCGACGAAGCGGGTTAACGAGGCGACGAGGTTAACGAACCACACGCAAATAACGGAATACATCCAATCGCGTGCGTAATCAAGCTAACGGGTCGATGAATCAACGAGTCATCCAACTGTAGAGTCCACCACATCAAAAAACGATCGAGAGCGGACTCGAACTCCAAGGCGGATTTACTACCAAATCAGGATTCGGACTGCCAAATCAGAGTCCAGATTAACAATGAAGCTCGGATAAACCGTAAAACCGGAAAACGGACAAAACGGTACCACACCTGGAGGGCTCAGCCAAAGCCGAGCCACCTTGGTGCCTCACCGAGCCACCTTGTGGTGGCTCGGCGGCCACCAAGGTGGCTCGGCCACCACCGAGCCACCACCACCTTTTGGTGGCTCACCGAGCCACCAGGTGGCCGAGCCACAGCCCGGATCTGGGCCCAGATCTGAGCCCAGATCCGCTTTCAGATGCCTATAAATAGAGAGGTAGGCTCATTGTTTGAGGGAAGAACTTTTGGAGGCGAAACTCTGCTGGATTGAGAGCTCAACTTTGTAGTTTTGAAGCTTTGAAGACTTGGATATTTTCAGATCTGGTTCTTGGCGATCATCCACGTCAAACAAGGCAGGAGTTCGAGAGAGAGATCAGATCTGAGATCCACATGGTTATCCTCCAGATCAAAACTTGGTTTTTGATCCCGAGAAGAGTATCGATTTCGCTTGGTCGATTTTGATTACTAAAGGCTATTATTTCCTTGGTGAAATAGTACCCCCGACTGTTCGTGAAATAACACCCGTCATATCGTGTAGATCCGACCGGATCAAGATCGCTCGGTGGTCCACGGATTAACCCCGGCACAGGCGAAGAACCCACACAAGCAAGAGACCGCAAAACAGGATCTTGCGATTTGTTCGAGAAAAGGAAAGTTGTAATTTTTCTTTTTTTTCTTTGATTTTGTTGTATTCGAATCTTATAAAAAGACCAGATCTTTTGTAACCGAAAAACTATTGCACAAGAACACAATGACTTCAATGAAAACGATTTTCCCCACAAACAATCTGGAGACCACAGTGGGAGGTACCGATCTCGCTGCCGAGATCGTTGCGTCGCAGCTGCAGATTTCAATCCCAGTCGAGGAGGAGGTCGAGTATGAATTCGACTAACAAAAGTTTAAGGAGTATCTGTCATCCTCGTCCGGATCCACCTCCCCCCGAAAGTCCAAGAAGTTCTCCTCCAGGAGAAAAGTCCGTTGGTACGAAGAAGTGCAGAATGCCAACGAAGATCTCACCCCAATTGAT